TTTTAGACAGACGAACACTAAGAAATGATTTTCTACTTTGAAACAATACTTGCAACATGTTATCTCCTTTACATTAATCAGGAACACGATATTTCGTCTGATTTGAGGCTGTTTACAGCTGGTTTACCATGTGGATTTAGCAGATACAAAGTCTGTTTACTTTACATCTTTAACTTCTCAATCTCCCACCTACATTAACATTGCTCATCTACACGTAAATCATTTACATATAAAGAGTTAGGCGCGATATTACTCGGAGTGTAAAAACATGTTTCTACTCGCTGTGGTATTGTTAAACATTAACTATGTATTAACAGTTATTGTTATGCTATAAAAAAACGAATGTAAATTTTATGATGTTCGTTATAAAAATTACAAATCATTGATGTATAAAACAGACATATTGAAACCATAATAAGCTAATTTATATATGTAGTAATATATCCAAAGATTATTAGATCTATGTGTCCATGACAACGCTAAATAAACACTTCTGAAATGATGTCTCCTGCCATTTTGATGAACCAAGCATAGTGAGTATGACATTACAGCTATGTGAACTTACGATTACACTGAGATTAAATAAATCTACTTAAGATAATTTAGGCCTAATGTTGCAATTATGGAATTTAATGTTAGTAACATCAGTGATATTACCAGAAATCTGCTACCATTTTTTTTTCAATACAGAAACCCTTCCCATTTCCCACAGTATCTCCAAGCCCATTATGTCCAACCTTTATGATTACAATCACTGAGTGTAGATGACCTATGAACTTCTCCTCCGTCGTGTTCTTTCTTGTTTTCCCACTGTGTCTTACTTTGGTCAAGTTGTGTAAATAGTGATTGGCGATTTAAACATAATTCAAAGTATTAACCTTAAATGTTATACCGTAACACACTTTCATGAATTGGTATGTAAATTTTAAGATAACAAGCGCATATCACATTAATTTCACATGCAGTGTGAACATTCATTCGGTCTGTCATTATTAAATAGATACAGAAACCAGAACTCTAAATTGAATACAAAATAAAAGTCTTTTTTGCTTGATCCTGATGTTAAATCCACATATCAAAATGTACATGATTTCTATGCCCTTTTTCGTACAGATAAGGCGTTGTCTGCTGAGATGTTCTACATACAAAAAGAACCTTTTGTGATAACGAAGGCAACATCACCTATACATCATCCATTATTTTCCCGAGAAGAAATGTATCCTGCCTAACGAAGCCTTAGTGTTACAATCAGTCAGATTGCTTATTATGGATAAGGATGTGGACCCCCTCGTTTATCTAGGATTCCTAAACTTCACAAAATCCATTTAAATATCGTTGTATTGGTGGCTCGTCCAGTTGTTCAGTCACACTTTTATCAACTTTTTTTTCATTCTAAGCTCTGTCAGGCTTACTTACTACTGGACACTCTTACATCAAGTATATAGTTTAAAACTTTTCCCAAATTCTCATGGGGAGACAACTGTGTGCACAACATTTTTACTCGACACGATACATGTACAAGCGCGTCGCAACTTTTGCCACGAAGGTGTTATCAAGAGGATACTAATTAAACTATATAACTAATATTTTGAAACGAGTTCAAGTTAATAATTTGCATGCTGTATTCTAATATAAAATAATTGTGGAGATTTACAAATAATGAGAAACCTTTAACGCGATCTTTATAGAACCCATAAAATGTCATATATTAAAAAAATAAGATCATCTGCTTGGTTATTGGAAAAGAAATATATTTCCAATTAAGATGCTCCTGAAAAAAATTATTAAACTTATATTAGAAAAAAAATATCATCTGATAAAAATTTTAAGCTGCCCTTAAGCACAACTTTAGAAAAAATGAACAAAAAAAACATACTTTTTTGGTAAATGGCAAAACATTCTTTCGGAAACTTCACAGTGTTTTATTCTAGATCTAACTGCCCATGATATGGAATTTAGAATTTATGAAATTAAACGAAGACAGTGAATTTGAACAGGAAATAATGGTACATTATTGTGGATTTCAAAATACTCCAAAGAGCTTATAGTCAATCTTGAGCTCCTTCTGATAAAGAATCAACAAAGCTTCATAAAAATATCGGACTTTTTCCTGTACACACTATCCTATCCCATTCCAAACTGAAGGAACGTCTTCGTGCTTCTGTAATGAAATTTTTCTTGTGATCTAGCCTATAATACAACGATTTTCAACAAATTGTCCAAATTAAAGAATAAATATTCAGCAGATGACCTATTAAAACTGACCGTAATTTTTGTTGAAACAGAAGAGTAAATTCCCTCCATCCTATCCAATATAGTGTTTACCCGAGAGTTCCCAATGTCACGATTTTCGTGAAAGATATCGGCATCTGGCAGCCAAAATCACAACACAGGGTTCGAATGACGCAGATTGATGAACTATACTTGGAAAATATACTGTTGTCAGGACAATTTTATAGGTGAATGTTCTAATTCATTGTGGGCTGCGAAGTTGGACGTGTTTGTTGCTCGTTAGTCTACCTGTTGATTCCGTTGTGTGATATGAAGTTGGACGTGTTTGATGCTCGTTAGTATGCCTGTTGGTTCCGTTGTACGATATAAAGCTGGACGTGTTTGATGTTCGCTAGTTTGCCTGTTGGTTCCGTTGTACGATATGAAGCTGGACGTGTTTGATGCTCGTTAGTATGCCCGTTGGTTCCGTTGTACGATATGAAGTTGGACGTGCTTGATGCTCGTTAGTTTACCTGTTGGTCCGTTGTGTGATATGAAGTTGGACGTGTTTGATGCTCGTTAGTTTGATTGTTGGTTCCGTTGCACGATATGAAGTTGGACGTGTTTGATGCTCGTTAGTATGCCTGTTGGTTCCGTTGTGCGATATGAAGTTGGACGTGTATGATGCTCGTTAGTATGCCTGTTGGTTCCGTTGTACGATATGAAGCTGGACGTGTTTGATGCTCGTTAGTTTGCATGTTAGTTCCGTTGTACGATATAAAGCTGGACGTGTTTGATGTTCGCTAGTTTGCCTGTTGGTTCCGTTGTACGATATGAAGCTGGACGTGTTTGATGCTCGTTAGTATGCCCGTTGGTTCCGTTGTACGATATGAAGTTGGACGTGCTTGATGCTCGTTAGTTTACCTGTTGGTCCGTTTGATGCTCGTTAGTTTGCTTGTTGGTTCCGTTGTACGATATGAAGTTGGACGTGTTTGATGTTCGCTAGTATGCCTGTTGGTTCCGTTACTATTTACCTTGTTGTCTGGATGGGATGCGCCTTTACTTACTTGGATTCACCAAGATTTACATGTTCATAGGTGGACAGATGTATTGAGGCAAGACTTTTTCAATCATTTTTTTTTCACGCATGCTAAAGACCTTTTCCATGATTCCCCAAGGGTTTTCCCTCTATCCATCGACTGCCCTCGTTTCATTTTTGTTGTATCGGTATGTAGAACTATTTTCTATTTCGGTGTATGAATTACTTCGGTTTACCTTTCATAAAGAATCCACTCATTAATTTAAATGTATCTGTTTTTTTCCCATTTTTCATTGCCATTGAATCACTACCATAGAGTTTGCAGCTAATTTCCCGATTCCAATGATAGACAAAATTACAACACATGGAGTGAGAAATGTGTGGATAAGACAAGCAGTATGTTCATAGTCCGTGTTCATTTATGTCAGAATTTTAGAAAATCATGTACTGAAGAAAAAAAAGACTCTTGAATGAAATATTGGGTAATAATATTCGTTAGGAAAATGATATCTAAAACCAAACGAGTTAGGATGTCACGAAAATAAAGTTGGAAAAAGTGACATAACAGAAATTAAATGTATATGATGTACATTTCATAATAGGAAGGTCGTGAAACACGATAAGGTAAAAGCGACGTTAGACCAGACAATTTGATGCATTTTATCCCAGCTAAAAAACATGAAACCAGGCAAAACAAGATACTCCGAAATAAATCAGTCTGATCTCCAAGAGTTACTGCCCTTTTTTCACTCTCCTGCGTCTGTCAGTAGACGTTAGGTATAAAGTAATATCGGTAAACCTGCCAGGCGATGGGGGCTGAAAATGGAATAACTGTGTCCTGTATCACAAAACCATTAATCTCACATCTTTCAAAGAGCGTGTCATTTACTTTTAAGCAATCTAGCAAGATCACTTTAATCATTGAAATAGCCCTAGCTATACCAAACTTTATCTGGTTAAATATTTGGATTTTATTGTTATCGTTTTAATGAAAAGTCCACTATCCTAGCATCCTGCTGGTGAAACGTCATTATCCTGGACACATTTTTCACCGACCTGTTGTTTAAAGTTATGAGTAATGTTAGATGAAATGTTATACCATACATAGCAGTAACTTATTTATTAGTTTATTACATGTATTTTATAGGTGAGTGGGACGCCCGCAGATTTATTCAATCATTTAAATTGTCGATATAATTATGATTATCTGTAATGAGTTTGAATTACTCAAAAATGATCTTTCACAACCTTTGATCCTTTTCAGCCAAAAAACATCAAAGCAATATTTTTGTAGTGACTTCAGATTTAACTATTTTTCTCAATAATTTGGTTGAAACAGAATGAAATTAGGTGATACAAACAACATAGTTCCTACCTAAGTTTCAAAAACACTTTTGTCCAGGCATTGATAATGGAGACATATTTTAGGATCCTTCCTTAATATATACTTGATGAGCCACAGGTACTGCCCTCTTCTGTCAATATACTTCTGTTAAAAATCACAATGTATTGACAGAAAAAGCTGGTGGTTTGACACGTTTGTGTAAAAATACAGCAAATAAGTGAGAGAAATCTGTATTTGGACGACGAAAGTTTAATCCATCCGCCTGTACATCATGCTTTGAATGATCAGTCTTGGTCACAATCAATGACAGCCAGTTACTTTCTATTAGTTTTGCTAATTGCCTGTGATTTGCAATACCTTGCCAGTTATCTTCTTGGATTTTTTTGAAAAATAAACTAAAATTCATGATTTTTCAGAACTTTAATTTATTAGTTACTGAACTACATATCAGTTGCCCATTCTTTCACACATCTGTCATGAATAACTTACCTACTTTATCCAAAAAATATGCAAATAAGTTCATTCTATCACACTTATACACTCAGAGCAGGAATCTTATAAATCGATAGCAACTAATTTGATAATGATTAGCAAATTGTGCAGTCTGTAAACTTGTCAACCATCTGCCAAATGCAATTTGTCATCTCTTCAATGTATATGTGGGGTGATATGAATTTAAAAGTAAATTATAATTAAGCATTTTTCCAGTTTTACATAAAACATCCGCTTTTCAAAATTATCTTATACAATATATGTCCAAAAGTTCACAACAAGAATCTGATGAGAGAGAAAACACTTCTCTAAATTGGAAAAACTTTCAGAAATATTATATAAAAGTTTATCTTACTCAACAAATGTTCTAGCACTATTCAATGACAATATAAATTGTTATTCAAGGAAATTCCAAATGTTCCCTAAGATTGTAAGGAGATTCCAGGACAGATCTGACAGTTTCTGACAAATATTGATTTTCCACAGTAAATATCTCCAAATGAATTACTGCCAACTTTCTGTCACTAGATGCTGTCATTAATTGTATGTCATGTATCTTGGTGTGGCACTGAACTTGGCATAGGCCTTGATGACTTTGTTAACAGCTTCTAAGAAATCTTTTTCAGTCGCCATTTTCCTTCGTGCTCTGATAGCAAACATACCAGCTTCTGTACAAACACTACGAATCTCAGCCCCTGTAAATAAGAAATGACTATGTATGACTTTTCCCAAATAACAAGATATAATCAGAGGTACATTTTTACACATCTAATTCAGATACAAATCTTTTATAAATTTCCAAACTAAAACATGTCCGTTTACCAGGACAATGTTCACACATACCAGTAAAAACTGCCAAAACTTGTCTATGTGATAAACAGTTATCTCCTCTTTGAGATAAGCTATCTTTCTGGAGAGCGAACTTGCTTCTTGAGTTGATATATGATTGGAGACACTTCAAAGTATTATTATTACTGTAGTTCTAGACGTATATCTACTGTAATGTTGTCATTTTATCATTGTGAATCTGTACCTCCTCCCTTGTTTGTAATACTCCACTTGTAATCATAGATCTGAATTATGTTATGAAAGTCACACCAGAATCATGATTGCCACAAGATTACCTTTGATAACAGTAACACTAAACCTCTTTCAAGTCAACAACTGGGTTCAAAATGATTGAATAAATTTTTAATTTGACATAAAACTGTTCCACTCACCTGTACTGTTGGGACAAAGTCTTGCTAAAAGTTCATATCTTATATCTTTTTCTACACTCATAGACCTAGCATGGATCTTGAAGATATGTGACCTTCCCTGAAACAGAACAACTGAAATTTCTTGATCTGTTACACTACAGTTTCATGACTAACCTGTAACTCAGAATATTTAACACCACAAAAAGCTTGCTTCACTATAGTTACACCTGATGATGAAGGATGCTGAAAAACAGCAACTCATTACGATTGATCAAATTAACAAAAATCTTTATCAACATGTTTTCCAAATATTTTTTCTTTTAATTCCAAATTAACAAATTCAAATTATTATAATTGTAATCCCTAAACCTTATTATACAGACCTCTAAATCTGGTTATTAACAAGTTTTCCAAATATTTTTTCTTTTAATTTGAAATTAACAAATTCAAATTATTGTAATTGTAATCCCTAAACCTTACTATACATACCTCTAAATCTGGGAGACCAAACTCTATCTTACGATCTAGACGTCCAGGTCTCATGAGAGCAGGGTCAAGAGTATCAGGTCTATTAGTGGCCATTAGGACTTTGATGTTTCCACGAGGATCAAATCCATCCAGCTGATTGATCAGTTCCAACATGGTTCTCTGTACCTCATTGTCTCCACCCGCACCATCGTCAAACCGTGCCCCTGTCAACATGTCAGTAAAGCAACACATGTAGACCAACACAATACATGTTAAACAGTGGCCCTGTCAACATGTCAGTAAGCTAGTACCTGTAGACCAACACAATACATGTTAAACAGTGGCCCTGTCAACATGCCAGTAAGTTAAACAGTGACCATGTCAGTAAGCCTGTAGACCAACACAATACAAGTTAAACAGTGACCATGTCAGTAAGCTAGTATCTGTAGACCAACACAATACATGTTAAACAGTGGCCATGTCAGTAAGGTAGTACCTGTAGACCAACACAATACATGTTAAACAGTGGCCATGTCAGTAAGCTAGTACCTGTAGACCAACACAATACATGTTAAACAGTGGCCATGTCAGTAAGCTAGTATCTGTAGACCAACACAGTACATGTTAAACAGTGGCCATGTCAACATGTCGGTAAGCTAGTATCTGTAGACCAACACAATACATGTTAAACAGTGGCCATGTCAGTAAGCTAGTACCTGTAGACCAACACAATACATGTTAAACAGTGGCCCTGTCAACATGCCAGTAAGCTCGTACCTGTAGACCAACACAATACAAGTTAAACAGTGACCATGTCAGTAAGCTAGTACCTGTAGACCAACACAATACATGTTAAACAGTGGCCATGTCAGTAAGCTAGTATCTGTAGACCAACACAATACATGTTAAACAGTGGCCATGTCAGTAAGGTAGTACCTGTAGACCAACACAATACATGTTAAACAGTGGCCATGTCAGTAAGCTAGTACCTGTAGACCAACACAATACATGTTAAACAGTGGCCATGTCAGTAAGCTAGTATCTGTAGACCAACACAGTACATGTTAAACAGTGGCCACGTCAACATGTCAGTAAGCTAGTATCTGTAGACCAACACAATACATGTTAAACAGTGGCCATGTCAGTAAGCTAGTACCTGTAGACCAACACAATACATGTTAAACAGTGGCCCTGTCAACATGCCAGTAAGCTCGTACCTGTAGACCAACACAATACAAGTTAAACAGTGACCATGTCAGTAAGCTAGTACCTGTAGACCAACACAATACATGTTAAACAGTGGCCATGTCAGTAAGCTAGTATCTGTAGACCAACACAATACATGTTAAACAGTGGCCATGTCAGTAAGGTAGTACCTGTAGACCAACACAATACATGTTAAACAGTGGCCATGTCAGTAAGCTAGTACCTGTAGACCAACACAATACATGTTAAACAGTGGCCATGTCAGTAAGCTAGTATCTGTAGACCAACACAGTACATGTTAAACAGTGGCCATGTCAACATGTCAGTAAGCTAGTATCTGTAGACCAACACAATACATGTTAAACAGTGGCCATGTCAGTAAGCTAGTACCTGTAGACCAACACAATACATGTTAAACAGTGGCCATGTCAGTAAGCTAGTATCTGTAGACCAACACAATACATGTTAAACAGTGGCCATGTCAGTAAGGTAGTACCTGTAGACCAACACAATACATGTTAAACAGTGGCCATGTCAGTAAGCTAGTACCTGTAGACCAACACAATACATGTTAAACAGTGGCCATGTCAGTAAGCTAGTATCTGTAGACCAACACAATACATGTTAAACAGTGGCCATGTCAGTAAGCTAGTATCTGTAGACCAACACAATACATGTTAAACAGTGGCCATGTCAGTAAGCAAGTACCTGTAGACCAACACAATACATGTTAAACAGTGGCCATGTCAGTAAGCTAGTATCTGTAGACCAACACAATACATGTTAAACAGTGGCCATGTCAGTAAGGTAGTACCTGTAGACCAACACAATACATGTTAAACAGTGGCCATGTCAGTAAGCTAGTATCTGTAGACCAACACAATACATGTTAAACAGTGGCCATGTCAGTAAGGTAGTACCTGTAGACCAACACAATACATGTTAAACAGTGGCCATGTCAGTAAGCTAGTATCTGTAGACCAACACAATACATGTTAAACAGTGGCCATGTCAGTAAGCTAGTACCTGTAGACCAACACAATACATGTTAAACAGTGGCCATGTCAGTAAGCTAGTATCTGTAGACCAACACAATACATGTTAAACAATGACCCTGTCAACATGTCAGTAAGCTAGTACCTGTAGACCAACACAATACATGTTAAACAGTGGCCATGTCAGTAAGCTAGTACCTGTAGACCAACACAATACATGTTAAACAGTGGCCATGTCAACATGTCAGTAAGGTAGTACCTGTAGACCAACACAATACATGTTAAACAGTGGCCATGTCAGTAAGCTAGTATCTGTAGACCAACACAATACATGTTAAACAATGACCCTGTCAGTAAGCTAGTATCTGTAGACCAACACAATACATGTTAAACAGTGGCCATGTCAGTAAGGTAGTACCTGTAGACCAACACAATACATGTTAAACAATGACCCTGTCAGTAAGCTAGTATCTGTAGACCCACACAATACATGTTAAACAGTGGCCATGTCAGTAAGCTAGTATCTGTAGACCCACACAATACATGTTAAACAGTGGCCATGTCAGTAAGCTAGTATCTGTAGACCAACACAATACATGTTAAACAGTGACCCTGTCAGTAAGCTAGTATCTGTAGACCAACACAATACATGCTAAACAGTGGCCATGTCAGTAAGCTAGTACCTGTAGACCAACACTATACATGTTAAACAGTGGCCATGTCAGTAAGGTAGTACCTGTAGACCCACACAATACATGTTAAACAGTGGCCCTGTCAACATGTCAGTAAGCTAGTACCTGTAGACCAACACAATACATGTTAAACAGTGACCCTGTCAATCAAATGCTCAGATTCTGATAACTCTGTTGTTTTCAATAAGTCAGATATTTAAAAGACTCGAGAGAAACGGGAAAATAAAACAATAAAAAGATGAATTGCTGTTAATAAATTTTGATAAAACTAAATGACAACCAACTTCAGTGAACCCTCAATAATCAGGACACCTTCATTCCTGGCTAAAATTGTCAGGATTACAAATTTTCCCAACAGCCGAATTTAGTCAACTTGCCAAGATAAATGGAGTTACCTCCCTTAGTGCTATAATGTACGATACACTGCAACTAATTCTCAAGGGTATTTATATACTACATACAGCACACATTGCTGTATTTCAGTTGTTAGAACATTATGACAGAAGCAAATTTGAGTTGATCAACCAAATTTGATCTCCAGGTAAGAAATTAAACCTGATCTAGCACATTTTCAATTTTTAGTGAAAACATTTTGTAAATGTACTTTTTTATTTCAAATTTTTACAATCAATAACAACAGGAAATCATCAGTCTTCTGCATTTGTTTATGTAAAAAACATTTATATTCATGATTTCCAAATATCATTATCACTTACCTCCAATGGCGTCAATTTCATCAAAAAATATGATGCAAGCTTTCTTTGATCTAGCCATCTCAAATAATTCTCGAACCATCCTTGCCCCCTGTTGGTAAAAAATAGGTTTGTATTTTATTACTTTTTACACCTTAATTCACAATAATTTAGCCTTGAGAAATTATCCATAATTTCTTTTCACTTTTTTCTAACTGCCGGTTGAGAAAATTGTCAATATTTACATGTGTTACAAAGGCCAGGCATTGGGTAATTACAAATATAATGATAATTATTTGAAGTTCATTACATTTTCAAAGTAATTGAATGAAATGCCTTATTGAAAGTAGCTTTAAAACATGTTATAGAATTTTAATCCATCAAATAATAAACCAATGATATGCCTTATAATACTTTGAATTACATAGATTCAAAAATTACATTTCACTCATGACTATAAAGATGATAAGGTAGATTAAAAATGATTTGTTGTGAAGCACACATACTTTTTTCTTGAATTACATCAAATCATTTCTGTTGTGCAATTGGAAGGTTTCATTAAGACAATACAAAGTTTTTTTGGTAATAGTGTTAAAACACAACAGACTGTATAAACTGTAAACTTCATTAAAGGAGGGATAAAACTAAAATGAATCTGGCATCAGAAGTGATTACACCTTCTGGTCATGTTTTATATTAATAATGTTCTTCAGACTGGTAAGTAACAGATTTTCACAAATAAAAACCAGTCAGAAAATCTCTTCAACATTTCAATGATTTCAATAATTTCTTTCTGTCTGTCTGTCTAAGACAGTATTATGCCGGACTTGCACAGAAATTTGAACACATTTGATTATATTCCTATATTATGTTAGATAAATTCTACTTTTCTACTGTTCCCTAGAAATCTTATCTAAATTCCAGTGTTTAGCTAGTAAGATAAATTGACTTCTACTTTAATGTCATGTTTGAAAACTTCAGATTTACATGTCTGACCCACTGTGTTATGCTAAGTGATTTGACCTCTATATATCTGACCTACATTCAATTGGTAGTTCTATATATCTGACCTACATTCAATTGGTAGTTCTATATATCTGACCTACATTCAATTGGTAGTTCTATATATCTGACCTACATTCAATTGGTAGTTCTATATATCTGACCTACATTCAATTGGTAGTTCTATATATCTGACCTACATTCAATTGGTAGTTCTATATATCTGACCTACATTATATAGATTATAATTTATACTTGAGTTGGCTTCATTGAGTTCAGTTATCTGACCAATATAGCTGTGTTAACAAGCTAGGTTTTTTTACCTATATCCTTGTGTTATATGTAATTTTTACATCATAGACCTGAGTGAGTATGTCTGTTATTACAATGAGGTAGCTCTGCCCCTGGAGTGTGATGACTGACATCTTTGCATGTGACTATGGTATAACATTTTTGTCACATATAGCATGAATTCAATCAATTGAAAAGTCACCAAGCAAATCAGCCTGTTTTGAGTTACCTACAAGGCAACATATCTTGATTTTGTAGTAAAATTCTGCACTATGTCTCTATGAACCCTTTCAATGTACTCAACTCTCAGTTTTTCTTGTGGTTTTCGAGTGCAACATGCTGAAAACACAAACTGACACTAATTTGCGATCAACCAATTCCATTGGACTAGAACTCTTGACCAATGTGGTACTCTAAAACTGGGGAATAACTGAGGTGGAGCTCAGATTATATTGTAAAGTATAACTAAAATACATTTGTAATATAATAGCTAGATCAAAGGGAAAATGACACATCTATGTGACAATAGGTTATTTGACCTACATTCTTGTGTTCTATATAAGGGACCTACATTAATGAGGTTATTTGACCTAAATACCTCAGTTTACTAGGGACTTACTTCTCCCACATATTTCTGTACCAGCTCTGACCCTATCACTCGGATGAAACAGGCATCTGTTCTGTTGGCCACTGCTCGGGCACATAGTGTCTTCCCTGTCCCAGGGGGTCCAAACAGCAACACTCCTTTTGGAGGTTCAATACCAAGGTTCACAAACTTCTCGGGCTGAATGACAAAAGTTTATTGAAAATATAAAGTATCTAACAAAGGAATATTGTTACATCTCCAGCTCTTTGTAACTGCTCTACTGAATAAATTGCTGTGGAAAATGGAAATGTTACTTTTCACCTATTCTGTAATTGTATAAATCTGCTCCTTGTTGTTTGACTGATAAACACACTCCAAAATGCCAAGGTGAAAAATAAGCTAAAAAACTGTATATAGGTACCATATCATATAAAAACCAAATGGATTACAATGTTTTAGAAAGAGTGAGGTCATGAAAAAGTCAGTTGAATTAAAGGTAAAAAATTGGCTGGTAGACTGAACACATATTTTTCTCAATAAAAACGATAACTTTCTGTTAAATGATACTTTAAAAACTTTTTTATTCTTGTTTCACTTACAACTTGAATAATTGGAGTGTGTCATAAAATTCTATGTATCAACTCTGACAGCTAAAACACCAATTATTTTCACAAGCATAATTTTGTATAATTTGAACAAGATACACAAGTGTCATTTGATTTTGTTCTTACTGACCAAAGGTTCCACTTTTACTGCAATCAAAAACTATATTTACCTATCACTTATCTATAAGGCAAATAAGTTAATGTGGAATAATTCAGTATTATTGCTGCCAAACTCCTTAACTCTACATCTTTATCCTGAAAATATAGACTGGAAGCTCCTACCAGTGATGAGCCTGGTTATAGAAGGGTGTTATAACTGATGAGGATAGGCATACAGGTTAAGGTCAAACAAATCTACTTAAACATTAGCGGTATTGCTATCAATAAATATTTAACATTGAGAGATTTCAGTGATACTCACATGTAAAAGAGGAGTTTCTACCACCTCACGCAGTTTGTCAATCTGTTCTTTACATCCACCGACATCACTGTATGTCACATCTGGTTTTTCCTCCACCTGCATCATGGTCACCGATGGATCTATTTTAGGGGGTAGTGGTATGTGTATCTGGTACTTATTCCTGTCCACACTGCAATGTACACAACAGGTTCATGTACTAATCACAAGTTTGAGTTTAATACGACAATGCTGGGGTGTTACAATAAACAATACTTAGTACACATATTTATCGTGTGCAGAGATCTCGATAAGCTTCACACATTTATTCTGTAAAATGTCCAGGGGGCAACATTTTGACTCAAAAGTCAAGGGGCTCACACAGAAAGTCTTGACTCAAAGTCAATGGAACAACACATTAACTCTTGCTCAAATTCAAGGTCCAGCATATTATCTCTAACTCAAAATTAAGGAACCACACATTAACTCCGACTCAAAATTGAGGGGCTCAAATATTGACTCCGACTTGAAATTAAGGGACCCATACATAAGCTCTGACACAAATTCAGGTCATAGGGTTATGTAATTTAATAGCATTTATTGATACTTCTACTGATCAGCAACATATATATAGATGGGCTGAATTACCATGGCTGGGCTTAATTACCATGGCTGGACTTCATTACCATGGCTGGGCTTATTGTCAAATGTCTTTGTACTTACTATTGATATGTATTTTATACATACAGCAACAAGAGAACCTTAATATTGATCAACACAGTGTTTTCAAGTCATTGAAAGATAATACAGAACATCTATACACATGACAATACAATAATAACTACATGTAGGATATATATTTACATACCAGGTAGTTGAAGAACTTTTGACATGTATTCATCGGATTCAAATTTACTACAACAAATTTAACACAATATTCCATGGTGTCAATTTGAACTACAGTATTTTACAACAGCCATAACACATCTTAATTATCACGCAGCACACAAAGTATCTAGTCCAGTTCAAGTGCTTCACTGATCAGTTTTAATGTACATCTAAACAATTCTTTTGTCCAAAAATACTTACCCAACCCTCATTCCCTCCTCAATATCAGTTGGTGCCACCTGGTCACCCAAATCCACCACAAATTTAGCAAATTGCTTGACATTGATGATGTACTTAGGGTCATCAGAATCAGCATTGATGATTTTTGTACACCTAGCCACCTGTAAAGGCTGCTCACCTAAGGAATGAAAATTGTCCTATCACAATATTTGGAAGATGGTAAAATTTCATAGCTAAAAACAAATTAAGAAACCTTTTCAATACAATCAATTCTGGAAATTTCCTTTAAATTTCCTATCAAATTTTGTCAACATACGAGGTATGCATATGTACATGTGTACATAGTGGGTGGGCGTCTATGACATCTTAAGATACCAAGGTATTAGTAACACTACTGGGACAGACCTCCAATGCTGAAGAGGTCAATCCTGGCCTCATATGGATGCTCCTTATATCCATCAAAATCGAAAAAAGTTTAAGAATGGATATTTAAGGTCACTTACTGTGACCACTCAATTACCACCCATTACTCCACAGTATTAATGTGAGTTTCCTGCAGAAAACCTTTATCCGTATGTGGAATCATCATCCTTACATTATAATTCAGAAAATGTTACCTGGGGGGTATTTTATATAAAAAACAATGTCTGGTCAGTCCAATGTAATGTTACCAAAATTTTGATGACTCCAATTACACTGAAATAAAATGGATTCTCAAAATTTGCATGTCTCACAGGAAAATCACGAGTCCAGGATCCACACTCAAGTCTTTCAGTCACAAAATTTTCTACATTTTTTGGTGGTGTATTAGGGTCTAATAATCTTTTGGGTAAAATCTGATGAAAAGCTTCACTGAAGGGGATTACTGGTATATGGAAAATACATAAATGATACAGAGTTGTGTGTATCTCTGCTGTACTTACTCTGTAATGTCTGTTTGTCAGCTGCCAGATCCCAGAGGGCTGGAGGAGCTAATCCTGTATCCGATTCCTTGATACCTGATCAAACAAAATCAATTATTTTTGTAGGATATTTTCTGGTGAGTTCACAGCACCATTTCCAAAATTTTAATGGGTCCAGGTCCAAAAAAATGCAATAGGTTCTAAAAATCTGGGTGAATCCCAAGAGAAAAGCACGAGTGCAGCATTCAAATATTTGGGTCCCAAAATATCACTGAAAATAACAAATACAACTTAATAATCTCTGTCTATGTTATAAGCATCTTTGGTGATTGACAGACGATGATTTCTCTCCAAATACAAACCACACTGAAATCAAGAAATTTGGATAATTTTTTCTCATGTATTGCTGCATGACAACATCACATTAAGCAGTGATATGACTAATATCTGACGTCCACGCTTAGGTTATTTGATGTGAATAGATACCGAGATTTCTGACCGGGACTTCTGCATATCCTGAACTTACAGATTTTTACTGTAACATACCTGAGAGCTCGTTGACCCTCTTCATAATGTTCTGAATGTCTTCTTCACATGACTTGATAGATTTACTGTACTGTCCAACACCCTATGAAACAAAATGGCAAGAAGCCTATCACATTAACAAGTTATGTTGAAATTGGTTGGACTATATTTAACCAATCAAGATCAAAAATGAATTTTACATTATCACATAAAAAAAGTTGATTGCATTACAATAACAGTAAGTACAGAAAAATCTTAAAACCTTTATTCTATTACTGAATATGCTTTGCTTTGTTAAATTATAAAAGGTCCATAGGGCATGTATTGCTCATCTGGCTCTGCATGACTGAAATGATTTCATCAAAATTAAAGGAAAAGGAATTCTGAATATCCAAGCACACCATATGAAAAATATCAGTTTTTGCATTGCACCCTAACTCTCTGTCCCTCCTGGGACCGCAAAACATTCATGCTTCAGATCAAATTAAGACAAAATCCTCCCATTCCCTATAGAAGAGGATTTTAAAGGATTTGTTTTATTCCTCCGACTGAGCCCACACTTTGGTACCTTTCATTCCTACAGAACGAGTAGGATTTTAAAGAACTTGCTCTATTTTCCCTATAGGGCCTTGTTCATGCAGCCCCACATGCTAAGACTCATGTTTCTACCACATTGATTCCCCTTCATCCAACAATGCTTCAGACCAAATTTGGGCTATTGGGTCCATCCCTCTGGCAACAGGAGGCCAAGACCTACTGTTTACATAAAATTTCCCTCCACCTAAGAATGCTTCATACCAAATTTGGGCAAATCCCATCATTCCTACAGGAGTAGGATTTTAAAGTATTTGCTCTATTTCCCCTATTTGGTCTGACCCTCAGGCCCAAGAGGGCTGGAATCCACAGTTTCTGCCTCTCAGGCCCAAGAGGGCTGGAATCCACAGTTTATATTAAATTTGCTCTCTTTTCTTATAGGATATTTCTGACCAAATTTGGTCAGAATCTGCCCAGTTGTTCACGAGTAGTAGCAATAAAGAATGTAGAAAAAGTTGATGAGCAGATGAGAGATGCACACATTGTGGCATAAGCTCACTCACTGGTCCTTTGGACTAGGTGAGCTAAAAATCAATTTACATATATGAATAATGTTTGTTTCACTAAGGTGAATATATATCAGGTTGATAATTACTTCCCTTTAATGGTAATTTATTGATTAGATACAAAGACTACAATCATACATATGATTACAATTTACTTACGTAAGTTTTCAGGAGTGCTATATCACCTTCATCCAAAGCTGTAAAGAAACAACAGACCAATACAAAACTGACAATAATATGACAAGAATCACAAAACACATGATTTTTCTTTGAGCATCAGTATTTGTTTGTATTTTTTAGTAACTACCACATAAAAAAAGCTCTAGACACATAAATGAAATTAATAATTGACCTTCTGCAGGGATGTAATAGAGGGAAATAAAACTATGTAAGTCAATTCTCTAGCATTAGCTTTAGTGTTCACTGAGCTATGATGTCATTTAAGTCCCCTCTTCCTACTGTTTTTATCCAATCTTATCTACCTGTGCCCCACTTCTTTTCTCTGCTGTAGTGTAGACTGAGCACTGACCAGCCTGACCATAGCCGTCTTTCAGCCACCGAGAAGTTAATCTCATTTTCATAACAAAAATGATACCAATAAATCAAAGACACTTATCGCAATATTTGCACCAATCAAAAAATGACTCAGCTTTTTTAATGCAATCTAGTTTAGTTGATTTGATTTTATATTTTGGGCTGAGATCAATTTGAAAATTATTACCTGCTTTTGATTACTTTTTAAAAAACAAAAAAGTTTTATACTTTTTCAGAGAAAAATGGTTTATAAACACAAAAAGGTTTTTTAACTCTAATTTCTTTGCTATAGTGTTACATAGCCAGTTTTGCATCCCTTTATCATATATCACTGCTTCCTCCAATGGGATTTGGTACTAAAGTTTTAGAAGTGACTTTTTGACATGAGCATGTGCTTTGATCCTTAATTTGTGTATCAAGATTTGTGTTACTGGATTTATTTTGACAGCACCCTACACCAGACTGTCGTTCATCAAAATCTCTTGTGCTCGAGACAGAGGTTATGTAAATTTAGAAGAAAAATTACTAGATAAGACTGTCATTGATAACCCAATGGTCAGGTACAGTAGCACTGCTACATTTAAATATATGTATAGTGATAGGGAATATGTAAGCAAATAAACCACACCTGATCACGATAAAAGTATGAAATGACAAAATAAAAATAATAAAAAAAAATGATGAATCCAGCCTGTTGGTTAAACAAAAGATTTTTGACATTGGTCACCACTTTCGATGAATTTTGTCACACAGTTATTGGCACTTGTATCCGTCGATGGTGAGCAAGAAATTTCCATAATACTTCATCATCAAAACATCATTAATCTCACATAATTCACATCATATTGAAAGCAAACCTGTGGACTGCATCTGCATCAAAGGAAAGCTTATCTGCAGTCAATATAATGAGTGAATGACTCCATATTGGATTGACCCATTACAGAGTGTCATTAAATTCGTAATGTACATGCATACTGGCATCAAAGTGTCAAGGGCACTTATAGGTCAAAATATCCTGTTCATCACATACACTTTGAAATTTTCATTCCCTTATTTAATAAATGAAAAAGTGTTCAATGACATGGAATATGGTAGTGGGATTGTGTTTTACAGTGATAAGTCACACTGGCAATGTAAGATTCTATACATCTAGTCTTCCCGGATTACAAAAAGTATGATTGGAGAGGTAATAACTAATGATACTATAAACACAGGATTGGACTCTAACAAAACAGTGGATTATTCTCTAGTTCTCCTGGGAATTGGTGTAAATTTAAACATCACTGATTTATAAGCATATTAGCATATACTACATAATGAAATCTACACACCCTTTTGATCACATCTAAGTGGTTTGAGAACCCCATTTATTTTCACTTCAACAAATATGTCTTACCCATTCTTAGTCATTTCTTGTCCACCATTATGAACAAAGATTGCTACCATTTCACTGTACACAGCTTGCTCTAGATTAGTCAAGTATCATTTCATAAAAAAGGTTTTAATAAAATTTTTAATGGACATCTTCCATTAATTGTCATAAGAAACTTTCCAAAACTGAAATGGTCTTGATTTATTCAGCTCTCAAAGACTGAGTGCGCAGACGTGTCACTGAAATTGAAACTAAAACACACATTTCGGGTTTTAAAACACAATTGGAAATGTGTTGCCTTTTCAATTATAATATGATCATTTTAGTAACAATTTTAGTCAAGTCATTGATTATCTTGTCTTATCAAGTTGTCATCCATATTTGACAGGAAAAAAATATGACCAGACCACATCGGTTTGAACTAAGTTTACATATGCCTGTATTTGTATAATCTTGCTACTGTAGAGGCAGATTTGTCAGTGCTCTGGTAGAAGGTAACCATTTACAGGTCTGGTTTTAGCATAGCATCAGATGGATTCCTCCTAACTCCCGAAACATGTCACTTACTATTGTGTCTGGCTATTAATCCCCAATAATCTAACCTTGGAAGTCTGTGATCCAACGTTCTCCTGTGTAACTATATTGTATAAGCTGAGGGTACATGTCGTTCTGCTAGTATACATATAATACAGATTCGTAGCCTGTTTTGGCTATTTCGGTCATTCAATTCAATTTCATCACATTCCGGTCATTAGTATACCATGTCCGTTGCCCGATTCCTTTGGTATTTACCATCTATGTTTTCAAATCTAAGTAGACTTTTATAAAACGCAATATAGAGATCTTGGATCAAATTAGTACCGTCATTCTCTCATAAGAACTTATTACCTTGAATTGGTTTGTCTTCCTCATCCTTATTGTCCTTTATTTTCCTTTGGTCTGCACCTAAATGATCCGGCATTGTGAACTCTTTTTCGGCAAGTCATGAAACAAACATGGACGATTTTCAGTGTTCATACAATTATAGGATTACACAAAATGATACGACACCAGAATTGCAACAATATCATAAACTATTTCATTTATCTCTGGATATATCACAAAACAGTATTATAATCACAAAGACTAAAAAAGAAGATTAGTAAAGGATCATACAAGAATTGCGACTCGTCTTTGTCTTTGTAGACACCCATATTCTGAACTCTGTAAGATATACATACCAATTTATTTTCATATCCGTTCAAAACGAAAGTTGGGCTATATATATATTCTATCAAAGCATGATAGTGCACGGATTCCTATTTCATTTACATTTTGAAATAAAATCATGGATTGCATATTTTGATGTGTATTACGACAAAGCTATTTAGAACGAGCATAGTCACTGATGCATTTCAATGAGTTACACAAACGTATCAAACTATTTGGCGACAATATTGATCTTATCTGCAGTGTCACGAACTCTTCCTTCATTGAATATTATATTTATTGTGTTTCTAACTAATTCAAAGTGTCCCCCCTTTTTTATCCTTCCGTATTTCATTTGTAAGAAAAGAAGGCGGAAGACATCACAATTGTTAAACTAGTATCTTACTGCTACGAACTATTTGATATACAAAGTTGGAGTTGCCTCCCTTGTCATACCACACTGTTTTGATTACATGGTACAAATGTAATTAAACCTGCAAAAATCTATTGACTTAGTTTAAACATATTTTATCTGACAAAAAATCAAATGGAATTGGACGCAAGTTAAACAACTTAGGAACGTTCTCTTCCATAAACAATTATACAAGGTTACATACAAATATGGCAGCATTTCATCAAACATTGAATCATTGATTTATACATAAAATAAACATTACTAGTTTTATATTATAAGATATATAGTATGAATATCATATATAAACATTGTATAACTTTATGCGAATCTATTTGTATTTTTAATAAATTCTTGAACAATCAGTCGAAAGAAAAGAACCGTTCAACAGGACATCTATATCAACGATTATGTCCTATATAGATAGAATTCTAAAAAGTATATCACGAGAGAGGTTGTACACGTTACATTGAAAGTAATAACGAAAATGATTTTCTAAAGGTTAGGTACAGTTGCGTGCTGGAGATAATACTAAATTACATCTGAAAAGATCTGAATTCAAAGCACTACAACCGTGACGAATTCTAGCATGTATCACATCTAATGTTCTGTTACCTACAGTCAGATGAGTCACAGGTTTGATTTACCTTGAAATATGACGTTCAAATTTTGACACTAGTTCTAGTTGATATATCTAAAGAGTTCCACATTCTGAGGGGATAAAATACCTTTCATACATAACTTGTCTACATTTTGGTAATAAATAATCTTGAACAGTTTTTAAATTATATCTACTAATATTATTTACTCTGTTAGGCAATAGTTCATTTAGATAATATGGAACTAAGTCATGGTTCATTTTGTTTAGTAATAATTTTTTTGTTTGTTTGTTTACGTCTGTCTGCAAGTTTTCCCAACTGGTTCATTAAATAAAGACTGTACACTTGCAAATAAAGGCAAGCCTGTAACTATTCTAGCTTCGAGTTGAATTTTTTCTAGCTTATCAATGTCAGCAATGTTACATCCATCCCAAACCTCGCTCGCATATTCCAAATAGGTCTGATGAATACAATGTATAATTTAGATAAGATTTCTTTATTTACTGTAAATTTCAATTTCCGTAAAACTGACAAGTGTTTAGAAGCTGGTTTGATAATATTTGAGATATGTGTTTCCCACTTGCAATTTTCATTTAAAGTTACTCCTAGATGTTTGTGTGTAGCACTTTTAGTCAGAATTGTGTTATCAAATGTCAACTGAACATCAAGAACAAAGAACCAGTAAAACAAGAACGTCCGCTTTATTAGGATTGAAACTCACAGTCCACTTCTTTGACCGTTTGCCAAACACTGCTAAATCATGATTCATATAATATTCTATTTCTACACTATGTTTTGAAGAATATGCGAACGAGGGGTCGTCAGCAAACATTCTTGACATTGAAAATAAATTTTCATAAATATCATTTATATACAACAAAAATAGAAATGGACCTAAAACATAGCCTTGAGGTCACCAGCATTCACGTAACATGTGTGCGATAAAGCTTCACCCAAATATGCAATTTGATTTCTATTACTTAAAAACCTTTAAAACCATATGCTTTCACCTTTTTCATTAGACCATCATGTCAAACTCTATCAAATTCAGTGAGATATCGAAAAATACCACTTTACTGACAGTACTAAAAAGAGATACAGGTATATAATTAGAAGATAAAAAACGCCCACCTTTTTAAAAAAAGATACTACTATAGCTGTTTTCCACTGACTCGGAAAATTACACTAACTTAGAGATAAATTAAAAAGCAATTTAAGTGGTGTACAAACACTTTCAGCGGTATTTCTTAGCATTTCATGACTGATTTGATCTTTTCCGGTAGCCTTGTTTAGCTTCAATGTTTAAAGAATATCCTTTATTTCGGTTTCAGAAAAAAAAAATATTTTCAATAGAATTAGGGCACCTTGAAGGAAATTCTGGAATAAAAGTAGGCTCACCAATATTATTAGAAATAGAACAGAAAAACTTATTCAGTACATCTGCTTTTTCTTCATCAGAATAGACTAACTCACCTTTATCACTGTCATATAATGAGAGAATCGATTCTGATGAAGATGATTTACCAAGAAGACGATGAATAACTTTCCAATATTGTTTAGAATTGTTCAGTGCTAAATTGTAAAGAATTCCGTTAATGTTTTCAAAAAATAATCGTTTAGCATATTTTTCATATTATTAACTTTGATTCTCTGTTGCTTTAATTTAAGAATGTCGCATGGCCGATTAAGTCTACGTGTATATTTGTGAAGCCTATCTCTTTTCCTGATTTACCTTCTTAAATCTGAGTTATACCAGGGTTTATCGTTCTTCCTGACCGTTATAGTTTTCTTATGTATACAAAGGTTAGCAAATTCTAGAAAAGATGAGATAAAAATGTCACAAGCTTCATATACATTACAATTTTCAAAACGTTCATCCCATGAAAAATTTCTAATCAAAGAGATGAACCGAACATAATCTGCCGAATTGTAAACCCATATATCACGCGTGTATGTATTTGTAGTTTTTCCTGGTACTTTGATAACAACATGTGTGGCAGAATGACCACTAATGTCATTACAACAGGTACTACAGAAGCTTCTAGAACATTAACAGCATCACCCACAAATATAGGATCAATCATATTCTGTGTATTCACTGTAATACGGGTAGGTTCGTTTATTACTTTGGTCAAATTAATAAGCTTTACAATATCATCGATTCTATGATTTCGAACTTTCAACAAATCAATATTAATATCGCCAAGTATGATAATATTATTACTATAATTGATTTTATGGAATTATCCCTAAAAGGTAAATTGGATCCTTCAGGACGATACACAGTACATATAAGATAGGAACAACCAGTGTAACCCAACTCCATCCATATGATTTCACCGCCATTAAATTCTAAATCTTGTCGACGTTTAAAATGAATATAATCAGCTACGTAGACCATTACACCACCACCAAAACAATTCCTATCTAGTCGAAGTGACTCTGAGAAGCCTTCAATCAAAAGATCAGAATTTGGTACATTGTCATCAAGTTTCAGTAAATAATAGAACTGTATGCTCGTGAGTTAATGATTCGATATCAGAAATTTTATTACGAAAACGTCTTGCGTTCAGATGAAAAAAGGAACATTCTGTATGTTCTATATCAGGCCCAGGATTGGACTCTACGCCGTTGCTAAAGAGTGGTACCAATAAAATAATATTGTATGGGTTTTCTAGAAGACATTTCCGTTAAAATGCGGTACCGCAGTGCCTCAACGTAAATGTATACACTGGCCAGGAAAAATTAACGGACGCACGGACGGACGGACGCATAAAAATGTGGAATCGTAAAGACGTAAGAAATAGACATATCTATTCAGGCTGACAGACAGACAGACGCATTCAAAATGTCAAAAATGTATGTTTTCAATATGCACATGAAACGGCAACTCACCACTAGTTTACATACAGGAATATGTATCCATTCGTTATAAGAATGAGTAGTGTAACCAGGATAGTTCTAGTTATTATAACTGAACTCAGAAATGTTAACATTTAAGATTCTTTTTCCTCTTGTGTAATGTGACTTACACACACGGAGATACTCGTCTCTAGAACTATTATGCAGATAAACAGGAGGCATGCACGTGCAAAATTACATATTATGGTTATACTAATTTCGGTAGTACAATTGGTTAAACTGTTTTTATTGCAGAATGTTCAAGTTTAAACTCTGGGATCAAGACTATCGATGTCATTAAGAGTGTAAATGATCTATTGACTCATGGTTGGACTTTCTGGATATCGATACGATTGAACAGAAAACGTACAGTTGATACACTCAGCTCCATTTTATACCTGATACATTACATTTGATGGCGGCAGATAATGTTACATGTGTATATTTCTCTAGTGACAGTGAATGGACCTGATATCCTGTAATTTAAGGTTAACTGGAACAGCATGGGAAGCACTCTTTTCGAGCGTGGTCAGCACTGGCTTATGATTGTCAATCTATTTGGCTCGTCAGGTGTCGAGTTTTTTCTGAGAGATGAGGTTCCAGCTGATGTAAAATGTCCAGCAGAAACCACTTACATTCCCTTTTTTTCTACATGTATGCATATTTGTTGTTCCATAAATGAAAGATCTAAATATATTTTCAGCTTTTAGATAAAAAAGACGAAAGGGTCCACATATTTGGTGAACTGACCACATGTCAAAACATGCGTAACTTTTCCCGACAATTTCCTAACACTATTCATTACTATTTTTCGTTTTGATATTTTGTCCTTGTTTTATTGTATTGCAATTTGAGTTTGGATTATGATTATGTTGACATGTTGGCATTTTTCTCTCTTTTT